AAATGATAACCATTGATAATTTCCTACCATTTTGTCTGTAATTTGCTAAGTCCCCCCTATTATTATGTTATCCTTCTTTTACTCTTTAAAAATAAATAAATAAATAAATAAATCACACTTTGAACAAACCTGAGTGTGTCTGTCTCTTTCTTCCGTCTTTCAACCCCTTCCACTTTTGGTGGCTGGTTCTCATATACAAGGACCAGGTTTTTCGAAAACAGATGACATCACGAGTAGAACTTCAAATTTAGGAATAGACATGAATTTTGTTTTAGAAACATAACGGTGGGGTTCCCTGTATGGTAGTTCTGATACAAAACTTCTGTGATGGTTTCCAAGACAGGTCAGGATAGTGTATAGAATTATGGCTTGCCTGCTATGGTCATCTTGACCCAAATGTAGGTGTGTCAAGGTCCTATATAGGAGGCAGCACGGAGTACCGTATACATTGCTCACTGGGGCCCAACTCAACTGGAGTAGATGAGGCCCACAGTGCTAGACACAGAAGTATCTCCAAAGTCTAGACATACTGCTCCTGTGGGCCCAGTTCCCACAATGAAAGCCAACCACTTGAGCATGAAATAGTTCTGAAAAGTAACAGCAGACTCGATCTTTGTGTCAACTATGCCAAGCAGATATAACTTCAGGACAACACATGGTTAGGTAAACCTCGAAATAAAGATTGTGATTGCATGAGGCCTGACTTTAAGAGATTTTCTGCTCAAGAACCCTGGGCTTCTAAGGCTTGGACAGACCAAAAAGCTACATATTGTGGTAATGTTAGGTGCAGGCTAGACTGAGATAGTCACAACCTCCCTGTAAGATTTCCAAATGCAAAGAGTGACTTTTATGTTAGACAGTCACCATTAGGCTCAGTGGACAGAATCTGTTTTGATGTGGTATTTTTGGGGGGTGTTTTGTTTTGTTTTTCTTTCCGTACCAGGAATCGAACTCACGACCTTGTGCTTGCCAGGCAGGCGCTGTGCCGCTGAGTGAAATCCCCAGCCCCCAGAATCTGCTTTGAGAGATCTCTTTTAAGACCTTGAAGACTCTGGAGCAGGTTTTGCACAGCCTTTCTCTCTATTCTGGCCTGTGCATGGATATGGGAGCCACACGTCAGGGCCCGGGTAAGCCCAGGACACTTCTGGATATTGCTGATCCCTGGACAGCCCAGAAAGCTGTTTTCCTGGCCTCTGTAAAGGATCTCCCTACGAGGCCATGATGATATACATAGTGAATTCATCGGGGAGTGGCCCTTCTTCATTTCTGTGCCTCACTTGTGGCCATTACATCCAGCGTTGTGCATCCCAGGCCTGTTCAGTCATGTTGGTGACAGGCACTTACTTGTTCACAGCCTGCTTCTGTCTGCAGACCATTCTCCAAGGTGAAGTCCACTTGGGTAATGCTTGCCTCCCAGAAACAATGTCGTGAGTCATGTTTTGTTTTGTTTTTTAACCACTGTTTCTTTAAGGCCATATTTCAGGTGAGTGACAAATCTGTAGTAGAACATTAACTTTTGACTTTGTAAGCTATTCATGTATCACTAGATAATATAACTAGGTGGTGAACCTATGGCCTATGTGCCACAGCAGGTTGTTTGTATCATTGCAAGCTCTAAAGGTTCACCATCACTGGCCAATTGTCTTGACGTAAAATCATTTCCTCCTGTACCCAATGTAATGTTAACAGTTATTTGCAAGTACAAACATATGTATTTTATTCTGAGTCCCTTGATCACTAACCTTAGTCTATACATATTTTTACTCAGGACAATTCCAGCAACACCAAGGACCCACCTGGATTCTATCAAACAAAACATTACACAATCCGCAACTCCTGGCTCCTCTGAACTTGGATGAACAATAAGACCACCATCACCTGGTGAAAGCACTCCTGGGAGGATGTCTCCATACCCCGTCCTCAGGTTAAAATCAAATATAAATCTCCCTGTTTTTCTGTCAGTACATCGTTCCTCTGTTGGAATTATCTTCTTCTTTTTTTTTTTTTTTTTGGTTTTTCTTCCGGTACTAGGAATCGAACTCATGACCTTGCTCTTCCAGACCTAAATCCCCAGCTCCTTCTGTTGGAATTATCCTCTGGCAAGGCAGAGAGGACAAGTTTAACTTCTGACTTTTTATCTTCTCTCTGGCCTCTCCCTGGGGGCCTCTCCTCGGACACCAATGCTGTTTTAGAAAAGATTAACTACATCTATGGGTCAAACTGTCACAATCCCTGGGGCCGTAAGATGAGATGCCGGCGCTCACTGCAATGCATCCCCGGCTGGGCCTCACGGATGGTACAGCCCACAGTGCTTACGTGCCCACTTTCGCCACCGAGACTTCCAGGATGCTGGAGGGGCCGGAAGACGTACCGGAAGTGGGGTATCATTCGCTTCCGGCCTGGCCATTGTTTTCACTCCTTCAGGTCCTGGAAGAGTTCCTGTGTGTCGAGGGGTGCTGTGGGCTGGCCGGGGACTCAGAGGGAGGCGCTGCGGGGCGCGAGGCTGGGTCGCCGAGGCCTGCCCGGAGCGCATTTCGTCCCCGGACGCCCGAAGCCACCGCTTGGTCCCGTGGCGCTGACAGCCTTGCGGGGCCGGGCGCCGGGCGCCTGCGGATCCAGCGATGACGCGGGCGGACGTGGCCAGGTGAGCGGCGCCCAGGAGCCTGGTTTCACACGGTCAGACCCGGCCTCCCGTCAGCCGTGAAGTGTGGCCCGGAAACTCAAAACCCAAGTAGAGATCCGCTGCTGAGCGTCCGAACAGCAAGGGAATTAGGGAAATGGCCTGCACTTCCTGCACGAGTGGGACCTCAGAGTAGAGTCCACAGATAAGTCCATCTTCGTTTTTTAAGAAATTGAGGCCCACAGGAAAATAGCTTACCTAGGGATCCGGGATGCATGGTGATTTGTAAGCAGTGCACACATACTTTTATTACCAGCGCGCCATAGTTTTCAGTTGGCATTTTACGATGTATACACTGATTAAACTTTGCCGCAAACTTTCATATCAGCTAAACGAAGCACATTCATTCGTTTACCGAACATGTGCCAATGATATATACGTACAAACGTGTCTGGAAGCCATCTCTTCCCATTGAGTGCTTCCAGAAAGTGGAGAAAGCTGGCTAAACTATAAACAACTACAGTATGAAGTTTAAATGAACGATGTCTAGTCAGGTCACTGGGGCAGTGATCACTGTTAGGCATGAAGAAATAGGAAGAGGAGTTGAGTTGAGTGGAAAGGATTTGGGATTTTTCTGACTATCTAGCTTCTTTGTTTTGGTGGCCTCCAGCAGTGTGGAATGCTTGCATGGTTGTTCAGATGTGCATAAACCAGTTAAAATACAATGTTAAAGTGAGAGATACAGCAAGGGGAGCTACAGTTGTCCTTTAGGGACAGTTGGGAAAGCCTTCAGGAGAAAATAGTATTTGTTCTAGGTCTTGACAGATGAGTAACAGTTTGTCAGAAAGGGGGAGAAAAAAAGAGACCAAACAGGAAAAGAGTATGTGCGGCATCTACCTGTGTCTCCAGAATATTAGTCCCAAGCTTTCTCTGTTGTACATCTTTACGAGTTTTGAGAATGCATTCCCAGCACAGGTTTATGCATAAGTTAAAGATGTACTACCAGACAAATTTCAGTGCATATTATAAAACATACATTGAATAGGGGTTAAGTAACAAGTTAGTATTTTTGTTTGCCCCTTTAGGGATATCTTGCATGTCCCACATTGAAGACCATTGCTGTCTTTCTAGTTTTGTTTTTTTGGTTTTTCTTTTGTTTTTTTTTCCGGTACCGGGAATCTAACTCACGCCCTCGCGCTTGCCAGGCAGGCGCTGTGCCGCTGAGCTAAATCCCCAGCCCCCCATTGCTGTCTTTCTAATCCTGTGTACTTGTGAGAGCAGTGGCCTTGAACTTGTGATCTTTCTGCTTCAGCCCCCTCAGTGCTGGGATTGCAAACATGTGCCACCACACCTAATGGAGCATTGCTTTTTAACTCTGGAGGATCTTTCATCTGCCTAGAGTTGAATACCCTGAGGACTATGATTTCTCTCTTGATCTTCTGTAGGTGACACTCGCAGCACCACCTACTCCAACCCTGAAAAGCAGCTTCTGATCTGAATTATAGACCAGACTTTTAGTTGGACCAACTGGAGCTAGAACAACCTTCTCTCTGGGATCGAAATGACCACAGAAAGCAGGGGAAATGTAAGCCTCATCCCCAGGAATGCTGTGTTCCACAAGCAGGAGGGGCACCTGCCTGTGAAGCAGGAGCCCCGGAGCCAGACCTGGAGGCAGGGTTGCAGTTTCCAGAAGAGCCACCCTTCTGTCTGTGAAATCTTCCGACTACACTTCAGACAATTGTGTTACCATGAGATGTCTGGGCCTCAGGAGGCACTGAGCAGGCTCAGGGAACTCTGCTGCTGGTGGCTGATGCCTGAGGTCCATACTAAGGAGCAGATCCTGGAGCTGCTGGTGCTGGAGCAGTTCCTGAGCATCCTGCCGGAGGAACTCCAGTCCTGGGTGCAGCTCCATCACCCTGAGAGTGGTGAGGAGGCCGTGGCCGTGGTGGAAGATTTCCAGAGACATCTCAGTGGATCAGGAGAGGTGAGCACTTGGTCTGGAATGACTCCTGAAACTGTTCTCTAGTACTTGGGTTGGCCCAGGAATAGGCATTCTCTGGTTCCCAGGCTCTAGGCTGGTTTGCCTTTAGGATTTCCAAACCTTTTTCATGAATAAAGGGAAATAGTTATGTCCTCTAAGCCATAAAAAAAAATGCAAGTTCAAGCCAAGATCTGAATTGCTTTGTGAGATACTGCTTTGCAAAATCCACACAGCAGTCACAAAGATCTGCATAGTGGTTACAGTATAGGAGTGGGAACTTCAGTGTAATTTTTTTTTTTTTTTTTGTCTTTTTGGAGACAGGGTCTCACTATGCAGTTCAGGCTGGTCTTGAGCTCACCTTGTAGCCCAGGCTGGCCTTGAACTTGCAATGATCCTCCTGCCTCAGCCTCCCAAATGCTGGGATTGTAGACTTCACCACCAAGCCCGGCTTGATCTGTTCCTAACTACTTCTTCAGACTTCTAAGTCAGGTTTCTCTCTCCTGCCTCTTAGATTTCTTAGGTACATTTCTGGACCTGATAATCATTTGTTCCTTTTTCTAGTTCTCCAAATCCAACTAGAGGGTTTTGTTTTTGTGGGTTTTTTTTTGAGGGGGGTGTTATTTTTTAAAATTCCTATTTTCTCTATTTCCTGGGGTTCTCTCAAATTTATAGCCAAGTTACTCAAATCAGATGAAAAGCTGGAAAAAAGCCAGCAGTCTGAAACACTGGAAAACCTGACTTCTTGGATAATAGTGCTAAATAGTTCCATGACATCTGTATCAGTCAGGGTTTGGTCAGAGAAACAGAACCAGCGGGAAGAGTGCGTGCGCACATGCACGTGTGCATGTGTGTAAGGAGGTTTACTGCTAGAAAGTGGCTGATGTACTTTGGGGCTGGCAGACAAGTCAGATTCACAGAGAGGCGATGTGAGGGACACATTGGAACTCTGCCCAAGGGGAAGCCACACTGCACGGCGGAAGCTTCTTCACGAAACCCTCAGCTCTACTTATAAGGCCTTGCAGCTGATTGAGTTGGGCCCTACTGTCCATTTTCTAGGATAGTCTGCCTTACTTAGAATAAAGTGATTATAAGCTTTAATCATAGCCATAGAATGTTTCACAGGAATGCTTGGATTAGCATTTGATCAATGCCAAGTAGACATACTAAAAAAGACCATACACCATGGTTGCCTGTTCCCCATCTTGCTTTATAATAACTCCGTTGTAACCTGAGCAGGGAGCCTCATCCCCTCTACCCCTTTGCACTTTACCAGAGAAAACCAGTATATATATTTTCTTTTCTTTTTCTTTTTTTTTTGAGACAAGGTCTTGCTGTGCAGTTTAGGCTGGCCTTGAGCTCACACTGTAGCCCAGGCTGGTCCCAAAGTCACAAGGATCCTCCTGCCTCAGCCTCCTGAGTACTGGGATTACAAGCATGCACCACCACGCCTGGCCAGTATATACATTTTCTCCAATACTCAGCGTGTCAGTTAATTCATGCTTTTAAAAAAAATGATTACCTGTCTCTGACTAGGGAATCATTTCCAATTGATTGGAGTTCCCGGGCAAGATCTTTCTCCAGGAGTACCGAATAATGCACGTTTGACATTATTAAAACTGTTGTCACAAGTGAATGCATGTGAATAAATGAGCCATCCCTGGGGGCTGAGGAGCAGCTATGCACAACCACAGCACTAAACAGGCTGCAAGAGCACTGAGAGTACATTTAATGAGAAGGGAAAGGATGCATCCTTATTTCTTACTTTTTGCTTAACTAAATGGAACAGTTGCTCCTTTAAGAGTCTCATTGCTTTGTCCAAGGAGCCTCGCAAAAAGGGAACTGAGTCCCTGGCCAAGAGAGTTTATAGTTGGGTAGGTGAGGCAGCTGCACATTCATAGCTGCAGCCTCAGATGGTGTGTCCGGATTCCACTTTTTACTGTGCTGCTACTGTCAGGGTTGCATTTTCTGACACAGGGCAGGACTGTCTTTTCTGGCAGCCATTGTGGAATAGCTGAATGAGTAAACAGGCTTTTCCATGTGGTTTGCCAGGCAGAGAAGTTGTTCTTCTCCTCAGGAGCAAGCCACTTGGCTACTATGGGAAGAACACGGGCATCTGCATACCTGATCCCTGCTGGGCTATGGAACCACCCAGTTTACAAAATTCTTCTGAATCTTACATCTTATTTCAGCTCTAGGAAGCTTGCAAAATAGGCAGTATCCCCATAAGACAAGTGAAGTAAGCACAGCTAGACTCAGCCATGCAGGATCACAAACTGTCTCTTGGAGTTTTGGGAACCACAGATTCCCAAGCTGCTGCTAATAGGTGTTACTGGTGCTGGTGGAAGGACACGATGGCTTTCTTTTCCCTATGTTTCTTCCCAGATGAGGGCTTCTGAGACGTTTGCAGTTCCATACCTTCAAGGATGCTCTTTTGAACCCAATCATATTTCCTTATGTCTAGGTTTCAGCCTCAGCACAGGAAAAGGAAGTACCTTTGGATGAGACAACAGCGCTGGATGCAACAGAGGAATCTCCTACCTCACCCCTTCATGGGGGCTCGGTTCCTGGAGCCCACCTGGAGCCTCCTCATGATGAAGGGGCACAGCAGCTCCCTAGCGGGCACGTCGGTACTCATCAGCCCAGTCTGGCTCGAATCAGAGCCACCTTTCTTCTGTACTCTCCTTCACCTGTCCACCTCACACCCAATGGGAGCCCTTGTTCTGTCGTGACCTTGTTTGCTCCTCTTGGCTATTTTATAGTCATGCATGCATTTAGAAAGTTTTTGTCAAGCACCTGTCATAAGGAACACACTGTTGGGGACCGGACACAGTATACTGTTGCTGTTTTCAAAGAATTGTTATCGGGATGGCAGGGAGTCTGTCATACGGTAGCAAAGGTAAGGTACAGGTGAGGGACACCTGTCCCTAGGCATTTGACCCCTACACAGGTGAGCAGTGTGAGCACTGGAACAGTGATCATTGGTAAAAGCCAAGAGCATTGTGAGATTGAGCAGATGTAGGACGCTTCATGGAGGAAATGTCGGTATATTTCATAGTGAAGAGCAGGGGACAAGTTTGAAGTCCTGAAATAAAGGCATGAGAAGAGCGATAGACAGGAAGGAAGTCGGGGATGTAAGCAAGACTCTTATCTAAGAGTTCCTTGGGCCCCACCAAGGTAGAGTGAGGAAGAGTGATTTTTGGAAACCAGAGCCCTGCTTGTACAGGGTTTGAGTTGAGGCCTGGAAGATTTGGATGTAAGAGGGTGACGGGTGAGAAACAGCATCTCAGGAGGTGCAGCAGGAGGTGGGTGCAGTGGAACAGATAGTGACAACCTGAAGTGGGATGCGTGGGAGAGGACTTGTCCATGTGAGGAAGAGTGGGATGGAAGAGTCCATGGGGGCCAGGGAATGAAAGGAATTTGGTCAGTGATGGAAAGGAACATTGCAAATGGGAAACTAGGAAAGAAAGGTAGTAAGAACATGCATTTTAGGAAGTGAATTAAGGGGTTGTGGGGCAGGTGAGTGAAATGTGCAATCTATGGCCATGTGGTCGGAGTCTCGGAGGGAAGGGAGAACTAGGAGAGCAGGTCGAAGCCATGAGAGTCAGTGAGAGCACTGACAGAAGGAAGATCTGGGCTGGGCTTCCAGGAGTGTCCATCACAAAAGGGCAGGAGGGGAGGCAGCAGGGCACAGTGGCAGAGATGGGTGGGGAAGTGAGGCATGGCAGTGTGAGGAAAGCCAGGCAGAGAGAATGTGGTCAGAGAATAGCTTCCTTCAGGGAGGCTGAAGAGAATGAGGCCTGGTGGGGCACTCCTGTCTCAGCTTGGCCAGGACCTTGTACTGCACCCTCCAGGAACATTTCCTAGCACACAGGGGAGCCTCAAGAAGAGGGCTGAGTCAGTGTGTGTGTGGGGCTGCTTGGGCAGTTTTGGGTCCCCTCTGTGGGAACACAGATGTCATAGGAGCCAAGGGCTAGGCCCACTCAGAACCCTTTTCCTCCCTCAGATCAACTTGCATCCTCGGGTCTTTCCCTTCCCTGGGTAGGGAGCTCAGGAGACTGAGCAGTGACCGCTGTGTTTCATATGGTCAGGTCTCAGGTGAACGTGGATCTTTGTGTTATTTCCTAGTTGCCTTGTCTGGATTGGGAATGGCGGGAGCCCCCATCCACCACTCTTCCACCCTGGAGGCATCCCCTCTGCTTTCCTGTCTAAGGGCTTCTCTTGGAACTCAGTCCATATTCCTTCTTAGTGGCCTTTGTCTAGCCCTGGCCTTGTCTTTTTCAGTGTATGAGCCAGCTCCTCTCCATTGCCCCTGTGCTCACCAAAAGCCTGTATTCTGTGCCCTCTGAACTCTTCAGCACTCTGCTCTTTAGGACGGGCCTGTTTCTGAGCAGTGCAAGCTCGCTGTTCAGCGACTGCAGCCCGTGGAAATTCACCTGCCCACAGTATACAGAAATAGAAAGGCCTGGCCATCAGGCAGAGAGCCCTGCACCATGACACGATGCTGGGAGATTCCCGCAGCAAGGCCTCACCTGGTCACGATCCTTCCCCACTAACTTCAAGTCTGCACTCTGTACATTTTTTGTCATATTTACAAGTTTTTCATTATGAACATTTCCATACGTAAAACAGAATAGTAAAATGAGCCTTTCTGCACCCAATACTAGCTTTAACATCAATCAGTATTCTTTTTGCTTAATGCATGTACAGGTGTTCCGAAAAGGGAATCAGGTTATGGTAAGTAAGGAGCTCTTTGGGTTTTTTTGTTGTTGTTTGGTTGGTTGGTTGGTTTTTTTGTCTTTTTAAGACAGGGTCCCCCTATGCAGTTCAGGCTGGCCTTGAGCTCACTTTGTATAGCCCAGGCTGGTCTTTTTTTTTTTTTTTCTTTTTTTTTGGTTTTTCTGCGGTACCGGGAACTGAACTCATGACCTTGTGCTTGCCAGACAGGCGCTTTGCCGCTGAGCTAAATCCCCAGCCCTAGGCTGGTCTTAAACTCACAATGATCCTGCTGCCTCAGCCTCCCAAGTGCTGGGGTTACAGGTGTGTGCCACCATGCCTGGTTCAGGAGCTCTTTGTTTTGAGGCTAGAACAAGCCACTCATTTTGACAAAACTTGGGGGAAGCAGCCTTGTGGAGAATGAGCCATGGCCTCAGCAGTCAAGCTGATGAATGTTAACCAGTATTGCTGTGACAGCAGTGCAGCAGCCCCTGTGTGTCTCTTTGCATCTTCTCCCACTGCTACACATTTGTTTACTCTGAAACATTGTCCCCATTATCTCTCCTCAACTCTGTTTTCAGTTCTCATATTTAGTACTTGCTGTGGTTCCTAATGGCTTGACTTGGTGCCATTCATCATCTCACCTGTAGGTTTGACTTGTCATTGCCTTAGTTTTGGTCTGTTTTCAGGACAGAATTTACTTAGGGATTCTGGATGATGCAGCCATTAAACATGATTAGTGTTACGACATTCTGTGGCCCAGGCCACAGCAGAGGCTAACGAGTAACCTACAGATAAGATACACGTGGGTTGAGGTCCTCACTCTGGTCCAGTCTCATTTGTGGTTTCTCATGGGATGCCTAGTGTCATTTAACACAAAACATGGCTGTGTGAGTTCCCTCTCTGGCAAGTCTGTTACATGACAGTTCCTGTGACTGAGAAGCTTAGGACGATACCGACATTGAGCTAGACGTCTTCTAATTTTCTGTATGCTAAGTGGTAGGATGGCCTGGCCCTGGTTAAGAAATGCTTGAAAGGAACCAATGTTTTGGTGGTTAGTGATAACCATGAGTGCTGGACCTTGTCCAATGTTGTATGCAGAATTTCAGGTATTCAACTCATTAGTTTTCTTTTTCTAGAGAATCAAGAGCCCAAAGGCATATTTTAACTTTTAAATTATTGATGCCTCTTTTATTTTATTTTATTTTTTTTTTTGGCTTTTCTCCGGTACCGGGAACCGAACTCACGACCTTGCGCTTGCCAGGCAGGCGCTTTTGCCGCCGAGCTAAATCCCCAGCCCTGATGCCTCTTTTAGTACAAGTGCATAAATGGATCCTTCCAATCCAAAAATCTGGAGCTAGGGCTGGGGATATAGCTCAGTGGCATAAGCACCTGCCTGGCAAGCGCAAGGTCCTGAGTTTGATTCCTGGTACCAAAAAAAAAAAAAAATCTGGAGCTCAATGGTGTCCCGCTTTTGAACTCCACTGTGCCTTTGAACACTTTATCCCAGCATATGTGAGCCCACATCCACGTGTTGTCACTGGTCTGTCATACATGATCTCTTTTGGTACACTTTCCAAATCATACCGTGGTAGAAATATTTTACCAAGTCACTCCCATCTTTGCCCTCTTTCTTGTATTTGATTCCAGGTGTTTGCCTGTTTTCTTGTCTCCTAGAATCTTTTTTGCAATTTTTAAGTATTTTGAAATTTTGGAATCTTGAAACTTGGAAATCTTTTTGAAATTTTTGAATGTTTTTGAAATTTCATGTAGGAAAGGAACATAGAGTTCATCATGTTACCAAGGCAACATCAGCACAGTGACTTTTGGAATCCTGTACACCATGCATTACTATCTGGCTCTTCCTTTTGACCATCCTAACAGGCCAAGTTGCTCAATATCCATCTGTCCTTGCTCTTTTTTCCACCTTCTTCCTCCTCCACTGATCATCTTTCCTTTGTATCCTTGAAGAGAAAAAAATATGAGGTATTTATTCTGTTCTTAATGTGTCATCTCCTTCCTTAACTGTAATGTGACTTTTTTTTTTTTCCAGTACTGGAAATCGAACTCATGACCTTGTGCTTGCCAGGCAGGCACTGTGCCACTGAGCTAAATCCCCAGCCCTAGTGTGACTTTTTTAAAACAGATACATTCAACTCTTGATTATTCTGTTTCCACAACAGGACAAGAAACAAGTAAAAGTTGCTTTATTGTTTGTTTTGATGGCAGGTAAGAACAGGATGGAGAGTTCAGAGTTCACTGCAAAGACCATGTCTAAACAATCAGAGTCATCTGATAGGTCAACAGGGTCACTCTTTGGGGTGGCTCCTGCACCAGAAACTGGAGATGCCTATGAAGATATTTTAGAGCAGCTGGAAGGGCACCCCTTGGAAGAAGAAGGGCGTGGATTGGCAAATGATTTCTTGGAAGTTACAGATGAGGCTAAAAATTCCACAAAAGGCAAATGTGAAGAATATATGGAAGCGGGGGTACATCCAAATCTGTCCTCCAGTCCTGTTCAACATCAGGGAGTTGCAAAGGGACCGAAATTCTATCAGTGTGCTGAATGTGGAAAACTGTTCTGTTGGGGTTCACACCTCCTTGGCCACCAGAGCATCCACACTGGAGAGCAGCCCTACGAGTATAATGAGTGTGGCAAGAGCTTCAGGCAGACCTGTCAGCTCATTGTTCATCTCAGGACCCACACAGGGGAAAAGCCTTATGGGTGCAGTGAGTGTGGGAAGACCTTTCGACACAGCTCCCACCTTATCCAGCACCAGCGGCTCCATAATGGGGAGAGACGCTATAAATGTAATGAATGTGCAAAAGCTTTCTCACAGAGCTCCCAGCTCTTCGATCACCAGAGAATGCATAGTGGGGAGAAGCCCTATGAGTGCAATGGCTGTGGAAAGGCGTTTATTTGGAGTAAAAGTCTTGTGAGACATCCGGTCCTTCACACTGGGAAGAAACCTTATGCATGTAGTGAGTGTGGGAAAGCCTTCTGTTCCAACAGAAACCTTACTGACCATCAGAGAATCCACACTGGGGAGAAGCCTTATGAATGTAATGAATGTGGCAAGGCCTTCAGTCAGAGTAAGTGTCTCATTCGACACCAGAGCCTCCACACTGGGGAGAAACCATATAAATGTAGTGTGTGTGGAAAAGCCTTCAATCAGAACTCCCAACTCATTGACCATGAGCGAATTCATACTGGAGAAAAACCTTTTGAATGTAGCGAGTGTGGTAAGGCATTTGGTCTGAGTAAATGCCTTGTTCGGCACCAGAGACTTCATACTGGTGAAAAGCCCTATAAATGCAATGAGTGTGGAAAATCCTTCAATCAGAACTCTCACCTCATTATACACCAGCGAATTCACACTGGTGAGAAACCCTATGAATGTAGTGAATGTGGGAAGGTCTTCAGTTACAGCTCTAGCCTTATGGTGCATCAGAGGACACATACTGGGGAAAAACCCTATCAATGCAAGGATTGTGGGAAAGCATTCAGTGACAGCTCACAGCTTATTGTGCACCAGAGAGTTCACACTGGAGAGAAACCTTACGAATGTATTGAGTGTGGGAAAGCCTTTAGTCAGCGTTCCACTTTTAACCACCACCAACGAACTCACACTGGAGAGAAGCCTTCAGGTCTGCCTTGGTCAGTATCTTAAGGGTGGTTCCAGAGACAGAGAACATTGAACTTTAGGTGAGCTTTGTTCATAAGGATATGTATTCTTCTCTGCTCTTGGAATTGTTAATCACTGTGCACTATTGCCATTTGCTTCTGACTGGATCAGTAAGGTGTGACAGTGAGAGTAACTTAGTGTAATCCTCCTCTACTATTGGGAAAATGAGGACTATGCATTTCATTTACTTGTACGTTTTTCTTTTTGTTCTTTTAATTGTCCTAATGTCTATTTTATTTCTTAGTTATGCATTATGCATCCCACAATCAGACTGTGCTTCTCAATAACAGAAGTAATATATATATGTATTCTAGCTCATCCATGTCACCAGTTACACAGAGACATTCTGCCAGGTCCTGCTTGTTGTCTGTTGCTCTCCTCACCTACTTTTACACTCACTCCTATTGATAGTTTCTTACCACATGTGTTTCCCTATCTAGAAGTTTTTTTCTTCCTATTTGGTAATCTAAGTTCCCCTGTAACCTTTTTTTTTTTTTTTTGGTTTTGGTTTTTCTCCGGTACCGGGAACTGAACTCACGACCTTGCGCTTGCCAGGCAGGCGCTTTTGCCGCTGAGCTAAATCCCCAGCCCCCTCCCCTGTAACCTTTAACATCCACCTTTTTTCCTTTCTTTTTTTGCCTTTTTGAGACAAGGTCTAGCTATGAAGTTCAGGCTGACCTTGAGCTCACTTTGTAACCCAGGCTGGCCTTGAACTCACCACAATCTTCCTGGCTCAGTCTCCTGAGCGCTGGGAGTACAGGCGTATACCATCACACCAGGCTCCACCTCAGTACTTAAGGACTTTGTTCTTCATATGCTTCTGCATTCCTCTAAAATGTCTATTGATGTGACCTCAATTCTTTGAATTAGCTGGTGCTACAAGGTGCAACTTTTCTTCCATTTCCTTCTAAATTATTCCCAGTGTTTATGGTATATGTTCATACAAACTTATTGTAGGCTCTTTGGGCTCAGATATATATCTACTTCAGTATATAAATAGTAGTTTGTTAACTGTCAAATAATTTTTAACCTCATCTCATATTTAATCATCCTTCAGTTATGTACTATTAACCCCTTTCCCCAAGCTTCTAAAGATGGAAATACATCTTATGGGCCATCATGTTCAAAGACCTTATTAATATGTTCCTTGTGTATTCATGGAAGTCTTACTATTGGTATTTCAGGCTCAAAAAAACTAATGGATTTGTGAGTGTCTGTGTGTTTGGGGATGACTGTGTATCTAGGAATTGTGGGCACTTGTGTTCCACTGAGATAATAAGTTACTCTGCACAGTGACCTATGTTTTGAACTTGGGCACTGTACCCTGCTTCCTTAAACAAGAATATAGTCATCCTGGGTTGATTCAGGTCTAGCTCATGTCTATCATTCCCTGTACTTGGGAGGCTAAAGTAGATGTATCACTTGAGCTTAGGGATTTAAGATCAGCCTGAAGAACATACAAAAATCCCACCTCCAAAACTAAAAAGAAAGAAAATAGTCACTTTGTAGAGGTTTCAGTCCATAGTCCAGTGGCTCCAAGAAGGACAGCATGGTAGAGAAATAGCTGCTCATGTCATGGTGTCCAGGAGGCAGAGAGCATGAGGGGAGAAGTGAGGAAGGAGATACGCCCTTCCAGGCCACGCCCCCAGAGACCCACATCCTCTGACTAGGTTCCACAGTCCAAAATCACATTTAGCTGTAAACTCATCAACAGACTAACCCACTGATGAGTGTCACAGCTTTATGATCCAGCCACCTAACAAAAGCCCCAAGATTAAGCACAGGAGGCTTTGGGGAACATCTATATATGGAACATAACATTCTGCCCCTGGTCCCCAAAAGACTCAGGTGTACCTCATTATACAAAATGTATTTAATTTATCTCTAAGAGTTGCCAAAATCTTAACAGTTTCAGCATTGCTGAAAAGTGCAAGTCCAGAGTCTCCTCTGAGACAAGGCAAATTCTTAGCTGGAAGCCCCTGTAAAATGAAATTCAAACACTTCCATAATACAACGGCACAAGATAAACACTCTCATTCCAAATGGGAGGAATGAAATCATTAAGACCAAAGCAGCATCAAAATCCACCAGGGCATACATTCAATCCCATAGTTCCATCTCCAGCACCCAAGGCAAGTTGTGCCAAAGAGCTTGAGCGGCCCCATCCCTATAGCATTGCTAGTTGGAAATCTCATTGTTTCTCTCTTGGCCTGGCTTTACTTACTTCTTGCATCTTTCCTCACATGTTTCACATGCATGGTTTTTCCAACTTAATGGGGTCTCCACTGCACTTTGGGCTTTCCCCTCACAGTTTCATGCACTGCTCTTTCAGAAGCATACTACCTTCCTTCCTAGGCTTTCTGAAATCTGGGTAGAAGCCTTTCTGATTCCACGACTCATGGACTCTGTATGCCTATAAAACCAGCACGGTGTGGATGATGCCAGTTTAAACAGTAGCTAGATCTCCTTGAATCGTGATTGTAAAAGTCTCAGTGTCTCGATAGCTGAGCACTATCAGCTGAATCCTGGGGAACTAATTTCCTCTGTCCTGGAACTCTTATCTGGGGCTCTTATCTCAAAAAATACTTTCTCCCTTTTGCAATCTTGAGCCTTCCAAAGGTGAGGCCTTGCTTGTTCTTAAGTGCCTGCAAGCCTTTTTTCCCATCATCCTGTTGTAAAGTACTTGGCTTCTTCTTAATCCTAGTCTTTTCATCAACTGAATTCTCTGCTTCAGTTTTGCAGGCCCCAAATTTACTGCAGCTTCTTTTCTGGCCAAACTACAGTCTTGAAATCATTCAGCTGTGCCATCATGTTGGAAATTGTACATGTTCAAACATGTTCACCTTCCCTGGGACACAAAGGCCTGGACTCAGTCCTCAGAAGATGCAGGAAGTGAGCAATAGCCATGCTCCTCTCTTCACTTCATGAGGTTATCAGGATACTCAAATGTTAGATTTTTGGGGCGGGAGATCTAGCTCAGTGGCACAAGTGCCTGCCTGGCAAGTGTAAGGTCCTGAGTTCGATTCCCACCTCCCCCCAAATTTCACTTGCCATTACTCTTATCTACTAAAATTAGACCCAGAGTAGATGGGCTACAGTGATTGGTAAATTTGCCTAAAATAACTAGGCTTTTTATTTGTAAGCTCCCTTTTAAAAAGCTGTCATTTGACAATAGCTTAATTCTATACTAGCAGGCAAATAAAAAATGAGATGTCGTGCTATATTAATTAAAATATTCCAAGATAAAACAAAGTACGAAGCCTGAAAATAGGTTCAGTGCTGTAGACATTTAAAAAGGTACACTTACTAATACTCAAAAGGTCTTGAGAACAGACACATTCCAAGGCACTATTTTGCATACCTTGAAAAAATTGGCATATTTTAAATAACCTAAAGCATGATTCACAGATTTCACAGTCTCTTAAGATTTCTTTCATGCAATATTGTTTTGCTTCAACTTTCTTATCCTTAATCTCCCAATAACTGTTTTTTCTGCTGAAGTACATCTCTGCTTGTTCATTAGTTGTCTGTACATGCGTCTGGCTTTGAAATCGGCTCTTGGTGTCCGGATCTGTTTTTTTTTTTTTTTTTTTTTTTTTTTTTGAGGAGGGGGGAACTGGGAATCAAACTCAGAACCTTGCACTCGCCAGGCAGGCACTTACGCAATTGAGCTATATTCCCCAGCCCCCTGGTCTGTATTCAGCGACTACCCTGGTGGAGCACAGCCCGCCACGCGGGCCGTCTGGAGGCGCTGTTTCTGTGCGGCTGGCTGGTGGAAGAGCAGTCTCCGCCGCACCTGGCCTGTCAGTCGCCTCTGCGCCCCTTCCCAGGTTACCAAGGGCGCCCGGTGAGAGGACAGAGTTATCTCCTAAGGAGCCTGTCCCGACCTTGGGTCTCAGCCAGGCGCGGGTAGGTGGCTGGCGGGGGTCGCGGCCGTGGAGAGGTTCCAAACACGGACCACTGCGCCGCACAGTGGGAACCTAAGCCAGCGCTTGGCCTCCAGCTGCATCCACCGCGAGGGCGAGAGGGCACGCGGGGCGGGCGGGGAGCTCGGCCCCACTCTGCCCTGGCAGCTGGAGGGCCGGGCCCGGCCTGGTCAGCAGAGCCCCTCCGCCCCAAGCCCAGGCCTCGCCCCGCCGCCTGCGGAACCTTCCGCGCCTCCGTCTGCCCTCCGCCGCGCACGCGAGTCCTGCGGGGCTTTGCACGGTGTCCGATGTCCGCAGCTGGCCGTGGGCCCCTGCGAGGCCAGATCTCCGGGCCATGCTCGGAGCAGAGTCGACCCGGAGGCCGCGGGGCCCTCGCCCATCCAGCGCGCAGCGGCCCCGGGACGCGGCTCGGCAGCTCCCCTGGGCATCCGGTGACTTATGAAGCTCGTAAAATCCGATAAGGACGGGACTAGAATACCACTGAGTAATCGTCACCCCTGGGGTCCGATAAGGACTCAGCACGCCCCCGCCCCCCAAATGTGAGCGGAGAGCAGACCGCGCAGACACCAGCGCGGCGGACGCACAGGAGTCGAGGGGGATGTCTCGGACCCGCGGCTTCGCGGGAAGCGAATGCTCCTCTGCCAACCCGAGTGCTCCTTCCAGCGGGGGCGGGACGGGAGACGGGGAGGGGCGGGGCCTCGTAAATCACCCCGCCCCTTTCGATCTCCCTAAAAAGAAGCCGATGCGCAGTAAGAATGGGTAAGAAACCCTCTGGTGGACTTCATGTATTCAAGGCATGTTTGGGACTCGGGACGCCCTTCAAAAGCTCAATTCTTAGAAGACTTATATATCTGTAGTCACTCCCGCCGTGACACCATCTTGTCAAGCACAGGTTACATGGTTAGCTTTCTTCACTGAGCTCCGGGCTACTATTCCAATTTCCTATTTGGCATTTCCTCTTAGATGTCTTGTTCACCTCTTTAACTTCACAGCTACTGATCCCAAATCAAACAAAACTATAGGTCCCT